CACACACACACACACCACCTCCACACCTTTTAAATAAATTGATTGGTGTTTCGTCGGTATAATAGAGATATCAGTGCCGCTGCACATTATGCTTTCACAATTTCTGTCGTCACTCAATCTTGTCAGCAATCAACTTGTCAAACGTAGCAGTTATATTTACCTCCATAGGCAACTTTAGACATCATATTTACTACGCCTTCCCAGAATGGATTATCTTCCGCTTGGACCTGTGGATCAAATAACAGTGGAGTGGCATCTGTTTTGTACATGTCGTTTTTGTTGCTGTTTTCTTATTATTATTAATAATATTGGTGGCAAAACGAGAAATTCAAGGGAAAAGACACGTTACCTATTATCACATTCAAATATCGTCAAGGTGACAAAGACATATGAAATAATGCTTCCTACGTAAAAAAAAATCATATCAGTACACCGATTGCTCTTTTGAACCTTGATTTTTTTTCCGCAAACTGAGCACCGATGCCCCTCTACTTTGGATTTTTCACTTCTCAATACGTACGTCTATGAAGAAACCCAACACTGCCAGCCCGTTGGTTTTATCGAGCGCATCTCCAGGCGACGTGTAATTTGACGCATAGTGAACTAAATGAAGCTGTTAAGAAAAAAGATATATGTTGGCGTTAGGTTTGATAAAATAAGTAAGCCGTCGCTTTTACAAAACTCACAATATAGGCCCCTATCAACAACAAATGATGTATCTAATCGATATGGATTACTTTTTTTTTTTCGCACAACATAGGCGCGCCCTATTCATGATTTAAAATCTAAAGCTTTACAAATAAAAAATATCGAATTGAAGATAAAGAGTTTTAAAAAATGACTACCAAAATGAAAAACAAGCTATGTAGACGTATTATTAGACAAAGATTCCCGCCCCATACTGTGGTGAGTGGGGTGTGTCGGTTTGAAAGAAGCAAACTGACAAAATACCACTACATGAATTGACAACTCAACACCTGAAAGATGGGTGACAAATCATGTTCACGGCTTTATGTACGGATATATGCATTTTGTCTGTTAAGTCCACTGTAGATAGTTAAGCACAAGTATTTGTGTCTGCGGACAAAGATAGGGCTGTCCGTCAATAATGACCTGTTGCGTTTTATCATCACGGCATCATCGTGTATTTGTGATGAAATTGAGTAAAACTAATTTCTTATTTAGAAGAGGACTTATCCGGCATATTGAATTACTTCGAGCTGAAGTCGATCTCTTCAAAGCAGATTGCTAATCACTTTCTGCTGACGCTGATACTGTAGGTAGGGAGACTGGGGTATTTCCCGACAGGGGTATTTGATCGTCGTCTTTAATAATTTGATTTGCTGGTCTTTTTTATCGAAATTTATCTATAAAAACCGACTCAAAACGAACATGCTTACCTTAAAATATCTAGGATTATATGCTATTTGTGTCGTTTCTTCAAGTGTGTGTGTGTGTGTGTGTGTTTTATTGCCCCTCCCCTCCTTATGTGCCATAATATAGTATAATATAATATAATATTATACTATATTATAATATAATATTCAGTACATCTACTCTAAATAAAATGTTTTTTCTCGATTACCTCCATGGGATAGCTTTTCCCATTAACTGTGTGTTCTGAGCCCTCCTTGCTGGTCATACCCCAGTGCCAGTGGAACTGAAGCAGTTTGTAATTCCTGGGCAAACCTCCACCTTGGACACTGTATTCCCCCGATTTAATATTAACTTGGACTGTCGAAGAAAAATTAAATATATATTAATGTCTGAATCAAACTGTGTCTAATTTTTCTTATATAATATATAAAAACACTCCGTCTTTTGTTGTTTACAGAGTGTGATGATGGGCATAACGCACCTATTGTAGCAAGAACAAATCTGATTGTTGTTGTATAAATAATAACAAATTACGAACAATGCAAATTATGAAAATACAAGATGTTGTTGTTGTTGTTGTCCAGCTGCTTGAGAGACGCAAATACCGCATCAGACTATCCATGACCCTTTATTCGATCCTCCTGCCTCGATATCTTACCAAAAAAAGAAACCCTAATAAACAAAATTCCAGCAAAACTAAATGTTCGTGTTGTGAAGTTTACACAAACAAGATACCACACATTTTCATCCCGTTATGCAACTTTTGGCTGAACAACACTTTCACGTACCGTTGGTTTACCCTTGGATCCAGCACAACGCTGGATCCTGCTTTCAAGCGTACTTTCAGTTTATTACCTGTGTGCGCGTTATTCTCTATCACCCATTCGGCGTTCGCTGGGACGCTGTTATAACCGTTCAGCTTGAAAGGCTTAAGAGTTAAATCTTCCTCTGCATCGGCAGACAGAATGTTTATTGGGGACTGTTTTTGTCCGCCGCATGGTGCAAAAAGTTTCGCCCATTGATTTACGCCTAAAAGAACAGAATAATGGTATGAAACAAACCATCGTAAGTGTTCTAAATCATCGTCATCATCACCAGTTTATTATTTTGCATCATCGTCTTGACAAAGTGTGAGCAAATTATATTCTTTAAGTAATTTTAATCGCAAATAAATCAACCGATAAGCCAGCTTTGCTTCTGCAACAAAATAAAATCAAATGGACTTATTCTAAATCATTATTGAAAAAAAAAATGCAATCCAAGATAAAAATGATCAGTGTAAAACCGAAGGTTACAGAAAGCAGAGCGTAGCGGGAGCCATTATTAATTTAAAAAAAATGTTTGATAGACAGATTTCTGATGATCATCACTCAATTTTAAAAGTGTTTTTTATATATGTTTCGAAATATACGATTTCCATCAACCTTGATCCGTTTCAAATACAATGTATTATATGGATCAGCTACGGTTTACAAAAGCACCCCAACTTTAATTCATGAATTTTGATAAGAATAAAGAAATTCAAAATTATTGAAAGGAATATTTTGCTCTAAAGCCCAGACTGGTTTTTATCCTTTATAGGTAATCGGGCTATAAATCATATATAGGTTGAAATGAAAGGAAGCATAAAGACAAAATAACTTAATCTTTATACCCTGAGCTAACCATGTTTATTACGGAGACAAGGGCAAATTATTGTGACCTGGTCAATAGTTAGTGCATATGACAGATATGATAATACCAGGTTTGCAGAAATCTTTCAAATCAAACCTGTCATCAAGTGTTTAGCTGACAACTGCCCGGACGACAAAAACGCGAAATTGTGGAAGGGTTCGCTGCATACGCCAACAAACAAACTAGTGAACGATAGAGTGATAGTTAGGCCTATAATATTGTAACAGCCACTTATACAGGAGAACGAAATACGATAGATATGCTCAATATGCAATTCGTTTTCTTTGGTAAAAATGCAGAAAAAAAAGAAATATTGTATGGCCTGAGATCAAATTGGTCTTGTGTTTCATTGCATCAGTGCAATTTTTCAACTTGTTCAGGTATTCATCAATGGGATTCACCACATACTTCACCGCTTCTCCAATTTTCAATAAGAATCTGGGACTCTTATTTCAAAGGTAAAAGCACTGTTCTAAATATGTCTTTACAGTAGCAGTTTCATTGTGGGTCTTTTTCTGAAAAGAAATGGACCATCTTAGTTGGCCCAACTTGAAAAATAGCAAAGAACCTAAATCGCATTTTGTGCAGAGTATACAATTTCCCGCCAAAATCGTGGTTCTTTTTGCATCCCCTTTTTACGAGTCCTAATTTTTCTTGTTTACTACCGACTGAAAGGAACATGCATCTCATCACATTTTGTGACCGCCACATTTTTTATTAAAGTAAATATGCCTCACCTGTTTTTCCGTCGTACGTCCATCCTGAAAAAAAAAACAAATAAACTGACAATATTTTTTTTACAAAAAGTAAAATTTCAGCCAGATCTGTTACACACTGGTTTCAACGTATTATAATATTTATTTCAACGTATTATAATATTTATTTATTTATTTATTTATTTATTTATTTATTTATTTATTTATTAATCCTCTTGTTCATTTTCTACAGCCAGTAAAAATGGTCACCATACACCGACGGTATATTAATTGACTATATCAGGTAATTATAACTTAACTGAACTTACATATGACTCACACACATATCATGGGGCAAGTAACCTCTATCCTCTCCATTATTTATTCTCTTTAACAATTTACTACACGTTTCGCGCAGGCAATATGCAGTGTATGGGTCTAATATACCTCAATATTTGCGAATGTCTGTGCGTCTGAAGCGTGGGCTGTGCTTGAACAAGATTTTACACTGATGTTCATCAGCTTTGCTTTATATTAGAAGCATGCTTCAGTCGATGCTTTTATATAGCCTAGTGGCTGAAACTGGGACTAAATCCATACAAGTCAGATTGGATGCAATTTGAACTAATGACGCTGATCACTTCATTAGGTTAGGCTTGCATGTATATTCGATACAGTAACGTTAGCAAGGCACACAAGAAAACAAAGCTGATGACTGCATGGCTTCACGTTTTCGCCGTTTCCTGGACAACGGGAGCTAATGTAAAGCATTTTGCGGGTTCTCTCTCACTTTTCCCTAGATCATGTATATTTACATATATGGCGCAGTGCGAAGTCAGTAACGTCCAGCGAACTACTGGTCGGTTAAAAGACCGAAAAGAGGTATTACAACCTATAAAAAAGGGTGTTTTTTGTTATCTTAAAAAGACTGATTTGAATGCTCAGGCAATTTCAATCCACGCGAAGATTTAGTACTCTTTGTTCAAATCCTTATAAGCCGCTTCCTTGTAAGCTATGAAACAACAATATATTTTCGAGACTGAGATAATACTATGACCTCTCACAGAATGTTAGCTATAAATTTTTCATCACTCTGCTGACGCGAGCAACATATAAACTCGAACGCTGAATATTTGCTTAACAAATAGGATGCTTCACTTCTACACAATATTAAGTAAACTGAGGCGAGATACCATGTACAAGGATATATAACTGTTGAGCAAGCCCGACGAGTAACAACTCTTCCTTGGGGTGGTTGTTTAGTGTGCATGTAGTTGTCTCGCGTCATTATCATTAACACGCTGTATTCTAAACAGCGTAGTAAATATACTACATGTGATACATGTTCTATGTACAGGTACATGTACGTTATTCAAGTCACGAAATGAGAATTATCTGAAAAATGAGCCTGCATGAGGCACGAGGCGTAGAACTGAATAACGTGGAAGCCGTGTGTGCTCATTCAGCGCCCTTACTACGTTCAACCTTGACACAAATACACGTGAAACACGTTCGACACGTGAACGAACGATCACGCACACACACACACCACGGTAATACCAACACACTTAAACGCCCTCTAACCATGCATGTGGAGACAGGGTAACACATATTTGTAGTGATACATGTAAATAATACAGGTTTTTTAATATCTATCCCTGTCTTCAATATTACAGAAATAGTAAAACTCACTGTCTGTTCAGCTGTGTTCGGATATATAGATACAACGAATAAGATAACTGTACCGATATATTTGCTACTTACCAGAAACATTGACCAAAGCCTGCAAGCTACATAAAAGCAGTGAAAGAAAAGTTGATGTCATCTCTGCCAGATCAGCTGTCTGTGACTTCACAGTGTTACTGGCTGTCAACGAATGTCAGAAATAGCACGTTGTTCACACATCATATAGTCAACTGGTCTATTTGCAGCCAGCCAGGTATGACTCCGAGGGGAGCTTCTTGCATTGTAACCCAAATGTAGCCTTATGCAAGTTACAAGTGGATCAAATCATGCAAAACACCCGTTAATGGTTACGATCACGCACGACTTGATAATTTGAGTAATTAACAATCCTTTTTCTAAAAAAATTGACTAAAACGTCGAGTCAAACAATATGAATGACCAGCCCGCGACCAGCTCAAATTAATGGTTACTCTCTGATTAAATTTATACAGCTAGACAATATAAATATTTTATCATAGTCTGAACTTGCTCTTTTGCACTCGTGAAAGTGCTCTTGATGAGATCCATAAAACTATAAAAAACAAAAAACACCAGAATCCATAAAAGTATTGGTGAACTCTCTGAACTATATGGGTCTAGGTTTATGTAGGCATACCTCACAGATACCTACCGAGCGCCCTGCATATAAACGAAAGTTCCGCACACCGCTGTATAGGTCAATAACCGTGCAGAACAATCTTTACATTGCAGTGCCATATTACGGTAATGCCTAAGTTTATTAGTGGGAAAGTGCTGAGAAATTTACCAGATCGAAGAGACGCCTTGTGGCCCTCAATATTCTCTTTTTAGGAAAGGGGTAAATTTTTGTAACAAAGCAAAGCGCGTATTGTGATTGATTAGTGTAATGCCAGTATGGCAAAATTAAATATGTCGTGTATGAAACAAATAAATCTCAGTAGCTATAAAAAACGACATTTTTGATAAAGCCTATTTCATGACTCCTTCGAAAAACACTATTCGTTATCACAGTGAAAAAAGTCTTTCGTCAGCTACACTCAAAGTTACAGTGGATACTTGGTAATAACTCTTGCGATTTAGCTGCAGTTTTGTAGCATGCCTGGAGTATGACCTAAAAGTACATGTAGTGATTTCGACTCTATTATTCAAATGGGTTTTTATGTTTTTCGGAGATCTATCTGCAAATGAGAACATAGATGCAAGGTATTTTGTAATAAATCATCTAACACTGAAAAAATAAATTTGACATCATGAGAGTTTAGTTTAATGTATTCAATTTAAGAACTGAGCTCAATGTCCCAAATATTTCCCCAACGGAAATCATCATCTGCAGGCACTGAAAAACCATCAAATCTGCAAGACAAGATTCATATGTTTCATAATCTCATAGTACCATATTTTTCTAGAAATGCCCAGGAGAGATCCCAAAAGACCTAAAATGACAAGCGTGTTTATTATACTTGAAATGTATTGATCAATCTGAAAAAGTATAGTGATGAGGGATATGACCCAGACCCTTGAAGGTTAATCAACCGCTATTGTACTAGTTAGAATTGCGCTCAGTAAAGCAGAGAAGAAAAGGTTAATCAGACCCCAATATTCCTCGTTCTTCAGATACTCACTCCTTCCCCCCCCCCCCCGAATTGTCTGCTGTGTCTCCTGTAATCGACCTCCTAATAGGCATACTACGCCATTATACGAGTGATAACATACGCCATACGAATACATACATGTACATAAAGTAAAATAAAGTAGATCTACGGAAGGAAGGCACAATTCAAAGTTGAGATCTCTAAGATCATTATTTTAGCGTTTATTCATTTTTTTAAGATGGCTTCTCTTTAATTAAAACCAGAGCATGGGTTTTATGAGGGAGCTTGTCCAGAGATTGCGATAGAGAAGTAGCAGTAGTACTAATGGTGTGTGGACCACTATTGCAATTGTGTTCCCCTTGGATTTATTCTTCTTCTTCTTGTTGTTGTTATTATTATTATTATTAGGATTCCCCATAGGGAAATACTATTGTTTTTGCTGTTCTTCTTCTTCTTCTTCTTCTTCTTCTTATTATTATTATTATTATTTTTCGTCAAAAAATTTCTTTCTAAAATTCTGAAAAATTTCATACTGATAGCCTATGAAAAGTTATTCCGGTCCACTCATTGACCTTGACCTAATTTTCAATAATACATATGCTCTTTCAGAATTTAGGAACCGATGTAGCACATGGCCTTGTAATTGACCTTTTTCTTCAAGGTCATTCTACCTCTATTTTGCAATTCAAAACTTTTGCAGTGAATCAAAATTCTCTTACCGATCGTTTATTTTTCAAACACTAAAGAGAAAAAAATCCGTATGTGTTTTGCATAGCATCGCTCCACGGTATTTCATTCTTTGATCATTTCGTCAACATTGGGCAAATCTGCAGAGTTTCTAACTTGAAATATGTAGCTTGACCCTATCGTTCGAAAAATTAGCCTTTGTGCGCCGGTTCTTGACGACATCCTTCCCTCAGATATCACAGGGTGCGTCTAGTAAAGCCTGCTACAGAATTGAAGAACCATTTGAAACAAACTAGAGGCAACCCCTGTGGTCAGAGAGTAGGAGAATTCCATTGATAAATTAATGTTGTACCTTTCTGCTTTAGGATGTCATTATTTGTTTCGACAGCTGCTATGTCCCCTTCATAAAACTTCATAAATCTTCAAAGTCCTTATCACTGGTGTTTTCTTGATATCCTTGCCTTGAAAGACAATCTGTTGAATTTTTAAATCTTTTGTGTACACATTATCAAAATCATGGGGTTAAAGGTAATGAACCCATCTTTTAAGCTATTCAATTGAGTTTTTACTGTTAAACCAAGTAATAGGTAGGTGATACACTGTATGTATAGACTGTAAACTTGCCGTTGGATGAAAAATGGCTGTATGATTTATGCTCATCTCATTGAAATTTAACCAATTACCATAACTGCTCATTTTTCACTCCCCAGTGATTTTTCTTGTACTGACGAACTTTAAGTCTTTATAAAAATACATTTCGCCTCTAAATGGAGGAACTTTACGATGAAGCTAAGACCTTTATTTTAAGAGAAAATCTCCAACCTACATACCCACCTTAATATCCTTGCTTTGAGAGACAATCTGTTGAATTGTTCAACCTTTTGTGTACACATTATCAAAATCATAGGACCAACATTAGGTAATGAACCCATCTTTTTAGCTTTTCAGTTGAGTTTTTACTGTTTAACCAAGTAATACCCGGTAGGTAGGTGATATGTATAGACTGTAAACTTGCGGTTTGATAAAAGTCGTCAATACTTCTTTGACCTTTCACTAAGTAAATGGCCTGGATTGACTATAGTCACCTGGGGCGGTATTCTCGAAGCTATCGAATACGATTTTTTCACGGAATCCTAATCAAATCCGAAAAATCGGTATTCTCGAAGCTATCGAAATTTTTTTTCATCGAAATCGTGAACGAATTTTTTGATAAAAAATTCGTCGTCGAAATCTTTCGAGAATACCGCCCCTGGGCCCGGTTGCACCATCCGGTCGTAAGTTAGGCGTAGCAGGCGTAGCCGGCGTAAATTAAGCGCAAAACGCTACGCCTGAGAAAAGGCAGTTGCACCAAACTGGAATGGTGTTTACATCGGTTTTTACATCGTCGTAAATTTACGCCTGCCGGGTAGGTGGTGTATGTCGGTCGCAGCTCGTTTTCCACTTTGGCTAGGCTGGCACAGAGAGAGTTTGATGACAATTATCGTAGTTATAGCTAACCATAGTAATTTTTTCTTCACATTTTATGTTATTCATATTTTACGATATATAAACATAGAGACGAAACCTTAGAATATCAACATTTTAAGGCTCATATAATATGTATTAGGGCTCTTGTATTTCTTAAACTACAAGATGTAAGCTTGCTTAACTTATATGATATCACATGGTGTAACTATAAATAAGAAGGTCATGAAATTGAGGACACTGTTGAAAAATTATAAAAAAGAAAACAATGTTGGCATTAAAGATGCAATTCTGGCATTATTTTCAGACTAAAAAAGTTTGAATAACAAATGTGAAGGTGTTCAAATCCATCAACTGGAATACATACTGCCTCCAACGCTTTTTTCAACAGGCATTAATCAATCAAATATTTTAATTTTTAAACATACTATAATGATATTTTGATTCGGAATGCATTTACGATTTTATTGCTATCCAAGGCAACAGCAAAGGTAACATATTTTAACCTTTTAATTTCTAAATCAAAATGAAATAATGTAGCTTCTGAATTTCTCTGTCACTGAAATACTAATTTTGTGTTTATGTCGCCATCCTTCTATGACTGCAGCTGGGAATTCCTCATTTGCTCAATTATACCATCCACTGTCGTGAAATCTAGAACCTAGGGTAGAGAAGCCATGTTCCTCCCAACAAAGAGAGAGGTGGTGCAGGAGCACAATTAAGGCCCTTTACCTCTCTCTATCGTCATATATTAAAGTCTCTGACATTTTACATTAATTAGCATTTAGATTCAGGACATTTACAGAAATGTGTGATTCTGATATTAATTCGAGAAAGGGTATTTTATAGTGTTCGTAAATGTTAAAAAGGAAATTACCAAAAATATATAGATTTCCATATTGAGAAGACATGCTCCTCTCTACTCCCCCTCTCCTGATTTCCTGGCCCGAGGAGCTATACCGGTATGTTTATCCCAAGCTCTGAACGCGCTTGATAGAAACCAGATGTGGAGATAGTGAGATTTTGAAATTAGTATGGGCGGGGGGTGGAGATGTTTATATATATCTTCTCAACCGACCAAGCTAGATAATCACGAAACATGTTATATATATATATATATATATATATATATATATATCAATAGAAAGGCTCAACTTGACATCTTTTTTATTTCAGATCGTTCTTCTATTTCATAACATAATCGTTGCATAAGAGATATAAGGCGCAAAATAAAACATACGGTTTCCTAAAAGCCTTTGTATCAAGAAATTAGATGTATAATTAACGTTGAATATTTTTGTTTTGCCTTGTATTGGCTCCATGGCCCAAAAGCAACATTAAAAACTCTTTATCTATGATTATGTGCCATGTATGTAAACTTGTGCCGTCAGTCAAATCCGCACATGGTCAGCTGTGTCATACTGTAGGACTTTGTGTGTTTATGAATAGACTCTGTTAATATTAAACCTGCAGTTTTTAATAGTCATACCGAAACGTGCCCTTGGCTGCCTCTCTTTTGGCCTCTAAATTATTTTCTTTGGTATAGTTTTCATTTGGAAACATGCTAATATGACGCATGCATAAGTGCAGTATAAATTCATTTTCTCAGCAATTAGTTTGGCAAGTAAGACAACAACAATTCTTTTCACATTAAAACTGTATGTAACATTTTTCGGAATCGGGAATAGAAATTGTGCATTCAACCATTGCGTATGTTTTGTAAGTTTGATATCTGATTTTAGAGTATTTGATATAACATATACAATTACTTAAAGAAACCATAAGGCTGCTGCAACCATCGTGAAGACAAAAGCTGCGACGGAATGGACGACTTGACCTGCACTGGAGCCTGCGGTGCCCGGTTTGGAGATTGTCCTCCCGTTCAGAGGCTGAGGAGGGCGGTAATTATTCACCATATAGCCTCCGTTGTTTTCGAACATTGGGTTAGTCCTAAGTAGGTTCATCTGGAATAAGAAATATGTAAGCGAATTTTAATTTTTTTTCAAAATATTTTGACTTCTCAGGAAAAAAAGACTATCACCGTCTCTCACTCTCTCTCACTCTCTCTCTCATACACACACGCACACAACACACAGCAAGGAAGGAATCAAAATTTGCATTTTCACAACCCACTAGAAATTTGCAAACATAAAGAATAAATCCTGTACACACCTGAGCCTCAGAAATACCGACTGGCGTTTGAAGTAATGTCCACACAACGGACTCTTGGCAAGCTGGAGTCGTCAAACTGCCCATGTACCGGTAATACGACTTATCGCTTGGCAGGAAGCTCATCAGGCTGCCGGTATAGTTAAAAGTATGCGAAGAACCTATTAATATGAAAAAAGAGGTTACTTAATTATTTTTTTATTTATTCATTTACTTTGCCTACGTAACTAAACTTTTTACTCTGTGTAAACAATCTACTTGCGCGTTGTGGAAACAAACTGCTACTTATTACATACAAAAGCACATTATGCACTTCAATCACTGATTCAAGGTTGTTTTTAACATGCTAAATGAATGATAATTACGTTTTATAGAATATTATACCAACCTGAAGATTGTATGTTTGGAAGCAGATCAAAAATTGGTTTCAAAGCCTGGTTGTCGCTGGACTGAATCTAAATGTAATGAGGTGCGTGTAGCTGTTACTTCAACATAAATACGACGATGAAGAAAACTATATTTACATTTGATAACAAATTGTGAAAAAATAGTAAAACTAAAACAGTCTTCATAATAAGAAATGAATACCGACTAAATACAATTTATTGATGCAAATTTATGCAAGTGAAAGTTATGTTGTAAAAGGTATTGATTTAGCGTTATTTTCTTAATGTGAACTTTTCAAGAGATGTATTATACATTAGTAATGCCTTATCATATTTTATATAGTGTTAATGTGACGGAAAGAGCGACAAGGTATTTTACTTACTGTAAACATGACGCCCAGAGCGGCAAGACCTTTTGATTGGGATATGGCATCGCCGATAGCATTGTAAGCAGTTGAGTAATGGACGAAATGCATCTGAAATGGAAAAAAAACATACTATAATGATATTTTGATTTATTTACCATTTTATTTCCATCCATAATATCCAAGAGGTTAAAAATACTGTCCACAAACAGGTTTGGGCATAGACGAACTATAGGCACGCAGAGGTGCACTCGCGTAGGCAAACACGCACTTATTGGCTCACTCGGACTCACTCCACAACTTTTTTAATGGTTTCCCTTTCACATCTACTTGTATTAAAATTCATTAAGGTTCTATGGCAATATCAAATTAGCTTGACAAGTAAACACGTACCTCCAGTGGGTATTCAGTACCATCGATAGTGTGCTCCGAACCCTCGGTGCTTACGTTACCCCAATGCCAGTGAAACTGCGCCAGTTTATATGCGTGTGAGAACTTGTTGCTGTTCAGTCGATAACCGCCATCATCTACATCGACTTTCACTGTAAGAAATAAGAAATGGGAAATGTGTAGTGTCTGAAAAAACTGCTAGGGTTGGTGGCACATATTCAATTCACACATCCTTTCCCGTCCCGCACGTGCGCAGTCACGATCCAGCACAGCCAATTCTTAGAATTGTAACAGTACATGTAGTTGGAAGTCCACTTTTATAATTACAGGCCTCTCCCAGCTACGATCTCACTAGATTTCAATTTTATTCCTTTAATTATTTTTGATGTATACATAATGCAACGTTCTCTACATCAACCTAAACAGTAAGAAGCGAACTTGTGAAAACAAGTAAAACTCCCTATAATTACATGTTAGGATCTAGTGGGACAGAAATGGTAGCTAAGAACCGTAGTCCCTTTCCCATTACTTTGTACAGGTGAAATTCGTCCCTTATAGTAAGCCCGGCTAACCCTCACCTGTACTGATCATACAGGACTACGGAGTTCCTCTAATGTCACACCGGCACTGATTGTATCAAAAAAGCATACCGCTTGATGTGGCAGAGCCTTACAATCCTAACTGGTTATACTAATCACTATTACATAAAAACACTGTTGTAATCAGTTAAATATATTTTTGATGTTCATTTATATATAAATAATTGTGTTTACGTTTATAAGAAAATAAAAAAACAATACTGACAAAACAAATGACATCATGCCAATAAAAAAGAAAACGACCACTCACCAGCGTGTCCATTGTTGGACAATGTCCAAGTTTTAGTAGAGGAATCGTCGTAATTGGTGAGGACGAGATCGTCAAGGGTAGAATCAACCTGGACGTCGGCAGTCACTATGTTGACGGGGGACTGGGCGTTATTACCGCACTCTGAATAACCGGTCAGGTTTTTCCAGGCAGCTGGTCCTGCGATATGAGAATGCATATTTGTATAACATACGTAGTAATCGATTGTCAGTTGGAAAGTTGTGCTTATCTTATTCTTCATTCACGAATAAAACGATATTGTCCAGTGCACCAGTGTTGCAATTAATGAAGTTAAAAAATTAATCTTATTTAGGAATGAAGATGTTTATTTACCTGTATTGCCTGAATACGACCATACTGAAAAAAAATCAGAATAAAAAGTATTTCAGTGATATGTATATGTATATATGTACATATATGCGTTGGTGTTTGACTTTAAGGGGGAGAGAAAGAGAGGAGACTGAGGAGTGGGAGGCAGAAAGGTCTAACTGCATAACTAGGAAGCCAATAAAGATTTCAATGAAATAAGACTCAAAAGCATTAACTTAGGAAAAGACTTAGAACAAGTTAGGAAAAATTGAAAGTACTGAACGATTACTTAAACAATGGGAAAGACGAATTTTGAAACCAGTAATTAAAAGTCTCATAATATCTAAATTTAATCATCTTTTTATTTCACTACCTAACCCATCTAAATATGATAAACATAGAAGCTTCAATAATGGCATTAAAATTAACATGGGTGAGGTTGATAAATACGGACGGTATTTGGCAAAACATCCCTTTGCATAAAGACTTGATGTTAAACTGTATTTCCGTTTCTGTCAAACTGGCACACAGAATTTATTTTGGAAGGACGTTTTTCTAGCTTGGCGGGAATTGTTGAAAAAGCAAGAACAAATTACCAAGTTGAACAAAGTCCCATTATGGTACAATAACTCTTCGCGGGTAAATAAAGCATCGATGTTCCATAAAGGTATGTATGGCAATGGATATAGACATGTGAATGATCTTATTAATGAAAATGGTAGACTATATTCATATAAAGAATTTATTGAACTCACTAACATTAAAATAATCTTTTTACAATACAATGGTACTATTGCAACGATAAATGATCTGTAAAGTAAAAACGATAATCCGCATAAACCCAAAACTTACGGTCCGTGGCAACCAGAACGTATACAAGTGTACGAGCTACATGTATCGTAAAACATACAAGGGGCTCAAAAGATATGTACGATCTGGGGTAGCGCTAGCACTCGCCAATTTAGCCAAATGCTAAAATTGACTTAAATTGGCTAAAGAAAAAGGGCTTGATTTGACATGTTTTAGCCAAATTATAACCATTTTGATAACAAATTGACAAAAATGTGGTGATATGGCTAAGCGAATAAAATTGCTAGCGCTACCCCAGACGATATATTATATAGCTCGAATGCTAAGTCTATTTCTGAGGAAAAAATGGTCATTTTTTTATCCCTCGGGATCAAATTTTTTGGGAAAAAATATATAAGAAAAATCGTGTGTCAGTAAAGGACACAAAAATGCTGTGGTTCCAGTTTCGAATATTCTATCGAATTCTTCACAAATAACTTCGCCTATAAAACTGGCCTTTCTCAATCACCTATGTGCACATTTTGCCACGATGAGGTAGAAACAATATACCACATACTATGGGATTGTGATACTGTACAAAATTTCTTTGACTTATATCAAGTAGAAGCATGGTTAATTTCTTGTGATATATATCTAAATTTCAGGAATATACGGTTTATTCTGGCTGTTGTCAGTGTGTTGTTGTCACTTACGAGAGCTTATGCGATAGTCTACCAAATTTAAGTAGAAAAGTAACTCGTGCAGTGAGGAATAATTTCTACGTTTTATTTACAATAACACTAGATCTATGCCATACATATTAAAATTAACACCCTCTTTGTGCGCAAATGCATAATTCACGATCAAACATAATAACAACTTGTCGAATAAGCAAAAACCACAGGTACAGCGTACACGTGTATTTTTAACGTAACTGATAAAAATTAAATCAGATTATTAAACGGATGCCTTACCTGCACCGTCGCCCTTAGCTACCGAAAAACTCACCGCAACACAGATGAGTGACAATAGAAAATTCATTTCCCGACGATTTGGAAATTGGAAACCAGGCTGAAATGCTGGGCAGGTTAATACTGATTCGGTCTGTAGTCTATCAGCTGTATCTATAGCTTGCCTGTAGCTTGCCGGTTTTTCTAGGTAGCGACGCTCAGACGCCCTAGATCTTTATTACTTACGTCACAGATGACGTAAGTTTTATTGTTCCAGTGGGACACATACTGGCGTAGTGATGTGTCGTCGTTTTCTCGCGCCATTGCGTTACGTCGCGCTACCAATAAATTTGCGCGCTTTAAACGTCATAAGTTGTGCGTAACTACACATGCGCTAAGATTTTTTCATTGGCCGGGCAGCAATGTGCAAAGATGAGTGAAAACAATACGTTGTTTTTAACCGAAGACGATGTCCCCGGGGCGAAACTGACACGCCAAATGTAGAGGATCATACAAACGTTGTTTTGAAACGATGTGGTCAGCCTGTTCAAGGCGAATTGGGGGTGGGAGGAGAGCAGAATTGTTAGCAAGGTACTGTGTAGGCCTAGATCTACACGTGAACCAGCAAAATTAAGGATAATCTCATGTTGCAAAAACATTAAATTTAATTAGTTAGTAATTTTCCAAACGATTGGCCTAGATCAAACTAACGACAATATAAAAAGCTGATGACATTGAAATCCACCTCAGTTTTTTTTTTTTTTTTTTTTTTTTTTTTTTTACATTAAAACATAAATTTACAACAGTGATGTTAATATTGTCAAGCCTGTCAATTATATGAACACTTTATTCAAGTCTTGGAAGTTAGAGGTATGTGAATGGGCCAACACTTGACACTTACAAATACATTTTTAAAGAGAAGGAGGAAGTATTTAAGAGATTGAAAAAAATATTTCACCTTCTTTAACTGAGTATAAAAATAAGAGATTATTACAAAATAAAAACAAACTCTTTAGAAAAAAAAACAGGGACTAACTTTGAATGTAGAAATGGATTCATTATCCATTGGTAAGTATGGGGAAATTGCCATTTACCTCAGGAAAATTCATTTTTCTGCCAAAATGAACAGTTGTTATCCCTTTAATCTTATGGCATACCTAAAAAGTCAAATGCAGCCAATCACGTGCCAATAATTATTCAGCTTGGGGCATTTTGGAATATCTCAGAACTGTCAAAAAAAAGAGAGAGAGAGAGAGAGAGCAGAGATTGACAATGAAAAAAAACAGGCTTTCATTCAACAAGCTGTATTTGTGTTCAAAGAAGTGATAAATTGCTTTTGTGCCAAAGGATGAGTGATGGGTTTTAATTTGTCTACCTCACGGGGTATTACTGCAGAAATACAAAATTTGATGTTGGGGTTCACACCACAAACTTCAGAAATTGGTGCGCGGAATTTTGTGAGAAAACTGCTGACAGTTTCTCTGGGTAAATTGATGTTATTGGTGCCGACATGCAATACTGAATTTTCAAAATTTGCGAGAGACAGGTTTGCTTTTTGTCTGCCTGAACAAACCTGCTCAATTTTGGCACCGTAAATTGATAATATTTTGGTGTGAAGGTCCGAAAATGAAAAAAAGAAATGAAGAAGTTTTCTTTTAGATGAGTAAGCATAGAATCCCCAACAATTAAAACATTGCCCCTGCTGAACTGAGTAGGCACACTGCTTGCTGGGAAAGTGAAGGGAAGAGAGCTCTACCCCGTTCACACTACGCTAGATAAGTGCGGGTAGCTATGAACGCTTGTTTATTACTTTAGCGATTGCACCAAACGTATTTGGAGGTCACCACTCACTACAACATGAGGAAACAAACTTATTTTGCCATCTTATACTTCTCAAGAATGCTGGAATGTCTTTAGAGTTGCATTTGTCGTCACAAATTTTTGTTGGTGTTTTAAGATTTCCTGTGCGGCGCATGCGCCAGTGTTCAAAACAGGAAGTTAAACCTGAAATTTTCAACGTGTAATTCGGTTTCGCTTAGCGTGTGTGAACGCAATACCGAATCGAATTCCTCACGAAAAATTCGGATTATAGAAATGCGCATTTTTGCAACTGTAGTGTGAATGGGGTATTACTAACTGCATGAATTTGATAAATTGTACTTGAGCAATGAAATTAACCTAATGCCTCTAAAAAGGTAAGCTTTAAATTCAAAAAGGATGTTTCTCTAAATGATAGCCACAATCACTGCACGTGTCAGTATCTGTCACAATACTTTTTTTTTACAAACAAATTTAGACAAAGTCAAATTCGTTTGACTTTTGCATTAAATCAAATTTATTGAAAGTTGTATCTAATATTTTACATTTCCGACAGATATAGCTATATTTAAAGAAATATCGGTACCGTCACGGTATGAATAGGGCCTATATTAGTAGTGTAAACTGACGACACTTGTTAAGAAAGTGCATCGTCACCAAACCTACTCAATCTTTTTATAGCATCAATAATGATTGCCAATGACAATTAATATTTATTGGTTAATATCTATAAACAATAGTATAACCATAGTTATAATAATAATAAGACGGTCCATTAATTCAGTGGGGGGGAAGTAGATACCAAGAGAAAGGAATAAAGTATAGGATATATGCGCACAGTGTGTTGGTGAGTTGCTCACTGACCTTACTGTGGGCAATGCGTGAATAATTGGTGTTGCTGCTGACTACCGTGCCTCTACTGAAACTGAAACCAGCTAGCTTGTAATCTAGGATAGAAGATAAATTTTGGATGCTAGTTTTAATGCATGATGTTTTTAATGTGATGAATGACTTTTCTTTTTTTCTTCAAGTCCTGGATTTGTTAAAAGATTTTTTTGCGGAACATAAAGTGAAATTAAGTTCACCGGGAAGGCACAATTCATAGTAAGAATCATTATTTTAGCGTTTATACATCTTTTTTAAGATAACTTCTCTTCAATTAAAACAAGAATATGGGTAGCCAGTCCAGAGATTGCGATAGAGAAGAATGCAGTAGTACCAATGGTGTGTGGACCACTATTGCAATTGTGTTCCCCTAGGATTTATTCTTGTTGTTGTTGTTGCTATTATTATTGTTGTTGTTGTTGTTGTTGTTGCTGTTGTTGTTATTATTATTCATTTTATTGCTAACAAGACGCCCAGGCATGCACCTGAAAACATGCATTATCAAATGAGCAACAAAGAATCTCAGTTATCAAAGTATTATAAAAAATAATTCCCCAAATGTATTATTTATCTAGTTGAAAAATTCAAACCTTTTGCAGTGAATCAAAATTCTCTTACCGATCATGTATTTTTTCAAAAATCCATATGTGTTTCGCATAGCATCGCTCCACGGTATTTTATTCTTTGATCATTTAGTCAACATTGGCGAATCTGAAAAGTTTCAAACTTTCTAAAATACATGTATGTACACACACTGGACAATAGAAGTGTCACCCCCGGAATCAGAGTAGTCAAAGTTATAATGCCTGATCTACTTATAATGTGAATAATAAGTATAAAACCGCTGTACCATGGAATTGTATTGTTGGTCTTTTTGTGAAATTTGATGTTACTAAAATGATACCAGGAGCATATCATTCCACAGTCATTTACCTCCCCCAAAGTATTGGTTCAGTAGGGGTGACACTTCTATTGTCCAGTGTATGTAGCTTTACTTGAACTTCTCCTTACCTCAGATATCACAGGGGCGTCTAGTACAGCCTGCTACAGAATTGATAAACAATCTGAAACAAATTAGTGGCAACCTCTGTGGTCAAAGAGTAGGAATATCCCAATGGTAAATTAATGTTGTTCCTTTCTACCGTCGGGTATCATTATTTGTTTCGACAGCCGCTCTGTCCCCTTCATAAAACTGATCTTCATAGTCCCTACCACTGGGGTTTTCTTAAGGTGGGAATGTAGGTTGGAGATTTTCTCTTAAAAGGTCTTAGCTTTTTTATTCCTGTCACATTCATTTAATAGGTCTTTAAAACATCTAATTATGCTTGAAACACAACTTCATCGTGTGACGTAATATTGGGATTTTGGGGACAAAAACACCATTTTTAGTTGTCTGATTTTCTCAGGCACCTGGACAGCCATAATCATGCTTTTAATGGTATTATAACACTTAAACAAAGTACTACAAAAGGGAGCCAGGGGTTTTTCTTTAGAGACTCATTATTGATGTTATCTATAAAAACGTGAAATTACATCAATATATTAAGAAATTTTCACTTTCAAAGTCAATAAATTGGAAAAGAGAGGATTAATCAAAAATTTAAAAAAAAAAGCACTTGTAGTGCATACTTTACTTTATAAGCATGGTGAATTTGGTCTCCCTCGGGTGTACAGGTAGACAGACAGTTATAGTTCGAACCAGTAACGCTATCTCGTCAATCTTGAAAGCGAAGAAAACGAGCAAAAACCGTTTCAGGGAAGTTAATTGTCCAACATAGCAAATTAAATTGTCGACAGCTTTACCTGTTATCGTATTGACGATCGCGAAGATGGGTACTCTATTGCCCGTTGAAATTAGCTCGTTTGCATGCATTTGGATGTCAGAAAATCTTATTTTTGTATCAATCTCACCTCCTTTTAGTAACTTCATGCATACATGCATCCAGAACTGTACCTCGCGTCATACCAGCATTTAGGTTGAAAATGCTAGGGATTATTCTCCAGCTCATATCTCATATCCGAAATGAATAATTCTGAAAAATCAAAATGTTATAAATACTACAGCTCTTACGTGATCTCAGCTTACTATTGTTAGCGCGAAAAACAGAGTCTAGCGATATCATTAGCTCTATTTGCTTAGTTTTTTTTTTTTTTTTTTTTTTTTTATTGCACATGTTCTGAAATTTTACGCCACCCGGTGAAAGGTTACGCTAGGATGTGGACTCAAGTCTTATTTACGTAAAGCTTAGATTAGTTTATTGCCGAATCAACTTGACATAGGCATATAACCAAGAAAACAAACATAGGCCTATAACATTTGTGGTAAGTGTAGGTGGTGGTGACAACCACTGTTAACATATTGGAATACCTAAAGAGTGATGGATGGACAGACTTATATAAATATATATATATCTAAAAAATAAAAAAAAATTAGCAGTGTGACTTTTTTATATAAGGCGAGAATTATATAGTAATTTACCAGAAGATATTTGTATGTATATATACCAATAAACGTATATTGTTAGATAGACTCAAAAGCTTATGGTGTCCTCTCTAAGCTTGCAGGCAGCACACAGGAATCTAGCTAAATTTCTTAAGTCAGTAACATTATGAGTATTTAATAGCTGTACTAGTTTGAAAGTCGATGGTCTTCGCCAGTAATACTGTTTGATATAAAATCTTCTAAAATCAGAGTACAATTTACAGATCAAGATAAAATGATACTCATATTTCACAACATTATCATTTGAACAATACTGACAAATTCTTTGGTTACGAGGGATATTACTATATCTACCTTTCTCTATTCTTAAAGGATGGGATGAAGTTCTAAATTTACAAATTAATTGTCTATATCTGTATGTTAAATTTTTCTTCAGGTAAAATTGCAGGCTGTGATTGTCTACCATCTTATTTACGTAAAGCAATCTTTTATATTATTCCAGTGAGTATTCGACCAAATGTTTACGTCGATGTCGCTCAGAAAAAGTCCAAAAAACAGAAATTATCACCATCGTCATATACGTAGAGCCAAGTAATAATTAGTTGTCAAGTTAAAAGATTTGGTAAAAAGTTACCAACAGGAGGTGAGATTGATACAAAAATAAGATTTTCAACGGGCAATGGAGTACCCATCTTCGCGATCGTCAATACGATAACAGGTACAGCTGTCAACAATTTAATTTGCTATTTTGGACGATTAACCTCCCTGAAACGGCTTTTGCTCGTTTTCTTCGCTTTCAAGATTGACGAGATAGCGTTATCGATTCGAACTATAACTGTCTACCTGTACACCCGAGGGAGACCAAATATATCAGCCTTATCGCATAATTATTTTTTAAATTCCATTACAAAACATCCCGGTGACTCCCTTCGCCACATAAGTTTTCATGTAATTATTAAACAGAGCAAAAAATGTCCTTCTTTCTGTAGTATTATAAAATACCATTAAAAGCATGGTTATAGCTGTCCAAGTGCCTGTTAAAATCAGACAACTAAAAATGGTGTTTTTGTCCCCAAAATCCCAATATTACGTCACACGATGAAGTTGTGTTTCAAGCATAATTAGATGTTTTAAAGACACATTAAATGAATGTGACAGGAATAAAAAAGCTAAGACCTTTATTTTAAGAGAAAATCTCCAACCCACATTTCCACCTTAATATCCTCGCTTTGAGAGACAATCTGTTGAATTGTTCAACCTGTTGTGTACACATTATCAAAATCATAGGACCAACATTAGGTAATGAACCCATCTTTTTAGCTTTTCAGTTGAGTTTTTACTGTTTAACCAAGTAATACCCGGTAGGTAGGTGATATGTATAGACTGTAAACTTGCGGTTTGATAAAAAGTGGCCGTGTGATTATATATGCTCATCTCAATGGAATTTAACCAGTTACCATAATTGTCCATTTTTCATTGCCCACTCCAGCGATTTTTCCTGTAATTACGCACTTTAAGTCTTTATAAACATACATTTCGTCCTAAATGGAGGAACTTTAAAAGTACAATGCTGTAGTTCGGTCGAGACACGCGAACATAGACTGAATTCATGTTTGTTCGCGTGTCTCTCTTGTCTCGTATTTACCGGTAGTTGTGTCCTGTTTTGCACTTGGCGTCTCTATTTTCCTCTTGTTCTTCACCTGGCTTCACCGATTTTGATGATGTAGATTTTTTTCATTTTGATACATGTACACAGCGGACGGGTGTCCCTTACTCAGATTCTAAGGTACCCCCATGCCCCTTTCTTCTTAAGTGTGACAATATTATCCACCATTGAGCTATACACATTAAAGTAAATGCCCTTTTGTTGCATATTTGCACTCCCACCTCCAATTCCACACACACACACACACACACACACACACACACACACACTAACAAAATTATGGATACGTCAGTGATCATTAATCTTTGCCGGTCCTTGCTGGGATTTAGATCTCCGACTAATTCAAACAGATTTGTTTGTAAATAAGTCGCCAATAGCTTCTTTGACCTTTCACTGGGTAAATGGCCTGGATTGCTGGTAACCTGATCTACTGTAATAAAACGTCGGTCAGTTGCTAAATCCAAGTTCCAGTATCAGAGTTATTCATATTTATCATTCTTATTATACTGGATGACTAACAACATTTTCTCATCCATGGCAATTGTCATTCGGGAGCTGTTTTTTTTTATATTTAAATGACATTTCTTGTTGAGGGAATATTTGATTGAGTTGGTAAAAAGCCCCGGCCAATTATTTTTCGTCTATGATCTTGCATAAAAAAAACGGAAAACTTCATTCTGTAGCAAGAATGCAGTTTGGTTGTAATGGAAGGTAAATAGAACTTTAAAAAACATAATTGAAAATCTGTATGCCTGACTTTATCAGAAAAACCCTAGGAATACCAATTAGCTGGTTGTTTTAACGTTTACGTTTGACGTGCGTTGCTTGCTGTTGACAGTTTACGTTACTAGCATCTGTTTAACAGGTTGAAGTATTCGACCTTTAATATTTCTTTCAAGGTTTTCAGGTTCTTTTTTCATTAAAAAACTTTGCAAGGCCCCATTGATAGTACAAAATCGGCTGTAATACAGCCTAGTATAGCCTGGCCTATTTACAGACTCTCGCAATTTAAACCCAGATGTTAATTACAATTCCAAGCATCAAAGGGGCAACATCTTACACCACTAAGGTCACATAACTACGCAATTAAAAGGTTCTCCGAAGACTCGTTGCCTTTTTACATGCAGACCATGATTTTTGTGTCACAGCTATGATGCAAAAGCTATTGAGTCCAAATCTATGTGCCGGATGTGGCAAACGTGCCATACTAAAGTATTTAGTTTAGTGTCTTTGAATTAAATGTTTGAGAAACTGATGTTAGAAGTTGGACAGCATTATCTTAGACATACATGCATATGAATGTGTGCGCATAATTTCACAGATTTCATCATTGGATATGAACCGTTCTTTTACTACGAGATAAAATCTTAGTTCAATTCAAACTGTTATGGTTATTGCAATTTACAAAAAGAACTCGAAACAACATTAAGACAAAGAAAAAATATTAAGTTAGTACTTTATTTATTAAAAAACACAAACGTGAGAAAATTATCACAAGTGTTCCATTGCAGTGAAACTCAAGAACTTTCATGCACCCTCTTTGAACAAGGTCTGTCAAGTTCTTAATTAATAAAAGGCACAGTTTACCCTTAAAGATATATACCCGGTAGAGCAGTAAATATAATCCATCAATGTCATACGCTGGATCGATTGTAACATGAGAGAAAAATCAACACAGAATACGAGCCGCACCTGTTAATGTCACCGGCAGGTTAAAGTTCCATTACTCGCAAAACGTGTTAAAATGCAAAACGAAGTCTTGGTTACTCATTCAAATCTTCACTTCGTGTAATAGTGCATGTTGTAGACATTTTTGAAAAAATTACTTTACCTCAGTATATTCACCGTATGTACAAAAATGTATTTTATGCAACAAAAATGCCAGCATTTCAGCAATTTTCTTGTTTGTTCCCTGAAAGTAATCACACGCTAAACACTTCAAAATCCTATAAGGTTCTTGCTACAGAAAAAAAGATCAGTTTTTTTTTTTGTTTTTGCAAGCCATATTAAAAGTAAACGGGATTGTACTTTACACAAAAGAAATAAACACAAAATCACTCTCCCTATATAATTTTCACCCTTGTTTTGCTGCTCACACCTTAACTACCTACCAGTTGAATGTCAACATTAGAAACATAACGCTGAAAGGTGTCTATAAAAGAGTAGTAAAGACAGAAAAGTAGTGCAATTGGTTTTGTGTTGGTTGCAAAACGTCTATTAAAATGTACATTAGAATGTCTAGATATACAGCAGGATATAAAATAGCGTTGGCAAACTAAATTTCCATAACTAAAGGTTGTCTCACAAATGAAAAATACATATCCCAGTTTCTTTCTACTGGTAATTTTCGCAGTATTTAATATATTAATCACAACGATAGGGTAGATTTGAACAACTATTGAACAGATTCATTAAGTTGAGTTTGGAAAAGTTGGTTACGCCTTGTGCAGAGCACCAAGGTCGTGACCTCTCACACATTCATGCATATCACCGGGCGTTTTGAGCAAATCGTTTCGTATAAAATGTAGGTAGTTTGAATGCCATTTGTCACTGTAGCATAGGTCGAGTGTGGACGGGGCTTAACAAGATGGTTAATATTTCATCACAACCGTGTATGTTATATTCCACTGTATATGAACTTATCAATAATCAAATCAGCCACAAAGGTGCTTGCTGAATGTAACAAATTCATCATTTTTGTAACCCGAAACGTACTTCCCGTTACATTCTCTTTCTTCAGGTTTTACCTCATTACTGGGCTTCATGCAGACTTTGATAAGTTCTAGTAAATCCCAAACAGCATTAAAGGGGCACCATTTTTCAAGAAAATGATAGATACTGTTATTTATAGTTTACGGTAATACATTCATGTGTTAGGTGTTTGACAGAATGAGTAAGCAACGAGATTCAAAGATGACAATTCCCCTAATTATCATGTTAAATTACTGGAAACCTTTTAATTTACGTGTTTTACTGTTACCTATTCAAAGACAGTCGAATATATCAATATTATATTGTTACGTTTGTTTTAACATAGCACAACGCACAATTTTCTCAGCAATTAGTTTGGCAAGTAAGACAACAAAGGTTCTTTTCACACAAAAACTGCATGTAATATTTTTCGGAGTCGGGAATAGAAATTGTGCATGCAACCATTGCGTATGTTTGGTAAGTTTGATATCTGATTTTAGAGTATTTGATATAACATATACAATTACTTAAAGAAACCATAAGGCTGCTGCAACCATCGTGAAGACAAAAGCTGCGACGGAGTGGACGACTTGACCTGCACTGGAACCTGCGGTGCCCGGTTTGGAGATTGTCCTCCCGTTCAGAGGCTGAGGAGGGCGGTAATTATTCACCATATAGTCTACATTGTTTTCGAACATTGGGTTAGTCCTTAGTTGGTTCATCTGGAATTAGAAATATATAAGTTTTGTGAATTTCAATTTTTTTTTCAAAATATTTTGACTTCTCAGGAAAAAAAAGACTATCACTCTCTCTCTCTCTCTCTCTCTCTCTCTCTCTCTCTCATACACACACGCACAAAACACACACCAAGGAAGGAATCAAAATTTGCATTTTCACAACCCACTAGAAACTTGCAAACATAAAGAATAAATCCTGTACACACCTGAGCCTCAGAAATACCGACTGGCGTTTGAAGTAATGTCCACACAACGGACTCTTGGCAAGCTGGAGTCGTCAAACTGCCCATGTACCGGTAATACGACTTATCGCTTGGCAGGAAGCTCATCAGGCTGCCGGTATAGTTAAAAGTATGCGAAGAACCTATTAATATGAAAAAAGAGGTTAATTAATTAATTTTATTCATTTATTTTGCCTATGTAACTAAAATTTTTAGTCCGTGTAACTAGTTTAATGTGCGCCGTGGAAAGAAACTGCTACTTATTACGTACATGTACAAATGCACATTATGCACTTAGTTACGTTGATTCAAGGTTGTTTTTTAACATGCTAATGACTGATAATTACGTTTTAAAGAATATTTTACCAACCTGAAGCATTTACGTTTGAAAGCAGATCAAAAATTGGTTTCATAGCCTGGTTGTCGCTGGACTGAATCTAAATGTAATGATGTGCGTGTAGCTGTTACTTCAACATAAATACGATGATGAAGAAAACAATATTCACATTTAATAAAATATGAGGAAAAAATTGTGAAACTAAAACAGAGTCTTCATAAGAAAAGAATACCGACTAAATACAATTTATTGATGCAAATTTATGCAAGTGAAAGTTATGTTGTAAAACGTATTGATTTAGCGTTATTTTCTTAATGTGAACTTTTCATGAGATGTATTATACATTAGTAATGCCTTATTATATTTTATATAGTGTTAATGTAACACAAAGAGCGACAAGGTATTTTACTTACTGTAAACATGACGCCAAGAGCGGCAAGACCTTTTGATTGGGATATGGCATCGTTAATAGTATTGTAAGCCGTTGAGTAATGGACGAAATGCAACTAAAATAGAAAAAAAACATGTATTTACCATTTTCCGTCCATAATATTCGAGAAGTTGAAAATGAGTACTCCAAAAGAAGAATAAATTATGCCTTCATACTGTCTACACAAACAGGTTTGGGCATACATGAACTATAAGCACGCAGGGGTACACTCGCGAACGCAAACACGCACTTATTGGCTCACTGGGACCAGGGAATTATATCGGAATCCGATATAAGACTCCGTTCACATGAAAGATCTATTTTCTAAAAATCTATTTTCTATTCGCGGTATCTTGTGATCACTCCGAGCGCAGCCGAGAATTAATTACAGCTTTGGAAGTAACTGGCTCGCGCTGCCAGTAATTACGCCTCGGGGTATTCAGGGCACAGGCCGTGATCACAAGATACCGCGAATAGAAAATAGATTTTTAGAAAATAGACTTTTCATGTGAACGGAGCCTAATTCCCTGCTCGGACTCACTCCACAACTTTTTTAATGGTTTTCATTTCAAATCTACTTGTATTAAAATTTATTAAGGTCCTATGGCAATATCAAATTAGCTTGACAACTAAACACGTACCTCCAGTGGGTATTCAGTACCATCGATAGTGTGCTCCGAACCCTGGGTGCTTACGTTACCCCAATGCCAGTGAAACTGCACCAGTTTATATGCGTGTGAGAACTTGCTGCTGTTCAATCGATAACCGCCATCATCCACATCGACTTTAACTGTAAGAAATAAGAAACGGGAAATGTGCAGTGTCAGAAAAATATGCTAAGTTTGGTGGCGCATATTCAATTCACATATCTCCTTCCGTTCGCACGTGCGCAATCGCTGTCCGGTGCAGCAACCTCTTAAAGTTGTTAACCCACTTTTATAGTCACAGACCTCTCCCAGCTACAAGCTCACTAGATTTCAATTTTTAATCCTCTATTAATTTTTGATGTATACATAATGCAGCATTTTCCACACATGTAAGGATCTCTCATAGAGAACAAGTGGGAAAGGAATGGTAGTCCACAAGTAACCGTAGTCCCGTCCCCATTACTTCGTACAGGTGAAATTCGTCCCATAATCTAAGCCCGGCTAACCCTAACCTGTACTTATCATAAAGGACCCCAGAGTTCCATTAATGTCACACCGGTATTGATTGTATCAAAAAAGCACATCGCTTGATGTGGCAGAGCCTTATGATCATCACTGTCACATGAAGCACTGTTGATATCAGTTATATATTTTATTATGTTCATTTATATATCTACGTTTACATTTGTAAGAAAATAATAAACAATTTTGACAAAACAATGACATCATGCCAATAAAGAAGAAAACGACCACTCACCAGCGTGTCCATTGTTGGACAATGTCCAAGTTTTAGTAGAGGAATCGTCGTAATTGGTGAGGACGAGATCGTCAAGGGTAGAATCAACTTGGACGTCGGCAGTCACTATGTTGACGGGGGACTGGGCGTTATTACCGCACTCTGAATAACCGGTCAGGTCTTTCCAGGCAGCTGGTCCTGCGATATCAGAATGCATATTTGTATAATATACGTAGTAATCAATTGTCAGTTGGAAAGTTGTGTTAATCTTGTTCTTCATTCACGAATAAAACGATTATGTCCAGTGCAACAGCGTTGCAATCAATTAAAACGGTAAGTGAAAAAAGTAATCTTATTTATGAATAATCTTATTTATTTATGAATAAATATTTTTTACCTGTATTGCCTGTATACGACCATGCTGAAAAAATCAGAATGAAAAGTATTTCAGTGATGTCATGGTCATGTTTTACATAAAGAGAGAGAGAGAGGAGTGGGAAGCGAGGTCTAACTGCATAACCAGCAAGCCAATAAAGATTACAAGGAAATAAGACACATAAGCATTAACTAAAATGTTTTTAAGATACGCAATAATCTTTGGGATCAATGAGCCATATACACCCAATTTAAACTTTGCACCACGAAGAAGAACAGTTAACAACTAAATAGAATGAATATTTTTGTGTAAACTTAGCCGTGGCAGATAAGCATTTCACATATAAGTACGCTAATCAAGTCAGATGACAAACTGTAAAATCAAAATTTACACATGACATCACAACTGATTCATTTTAAATAAAGAAGGAATATCATGGGTTTTTGTCTCTAAGCTTAACCAGCACGAAAATAAGCTGTCCAATTGACTTTGATAAAAGAATCATCATGTAACGAGTAGACAGTCGTTCTATAAGTTAATGGGTTTCCTCACATCTAACGGAGGACAAACACACAATGTTTTTTCAGGGATATTTTGGATTGTATTTTGCAAGCACTTTTAAAATCCCAGGTAAACACGCTTAATTAATCGAACAAGAAGATGGGAATTGCCAATCACGTCCCAATTGCTAAAATATATCTGGTATTCATTTCCCTTTATTTTTAGTCAACATAATCTGCAAAACTTTTGTGAGTGAAAAAAGGCTGTAGTTCCTTAGCCAAGTCTCAAGCTGAAAAAAAAACAAACAAAACAACCTAAAAGGAGGAAAACACACACATATATATACAAGGATTGTCCTTTTTATTAACATATGAAATGCCGTAATTGCAGTAATGTAAAATCGTCCCGCTCTGTTGACGATGGGTTAAGAGCTTTGTCAGTACACAGCTGCTAGACACGGCAAGTGGTGTAGTATTGCATGTCAAGCTCCTCAAATGGGAAAATTGAAGGCAATTGGAATTTTACAGTTTGTCAAAGAAACATGACTTTGTAAAAAACAGAAAGTCCCACATGAGTTGCTTCTATAACGATAAAACTATAGCATATGATACGAATATCAATGAAGTATATTCCCAAGAGATGCTACGCTGCGAATCAACCTGAAATACGAAAAACAACAAAAGGGCGTCTTCTTACCTTGACTCTCTATAAAAGTTATTTCTTGTCGGAAAATAAAATACCAGAAGGCATATATACCATACCTAGCTTTTACATGTATTCAGTTTTTCTCCTATTCATCTATTACCTTCAGCACTCTCAAGTTTTCCTACCGTGACCGTAACCGACTCCATAATCAAACAAAATGTCGGTCCAGGAACGTTTTCGACAAATTTTCAACAATGTTAGGCTTTTTTTTTTAAATTAGTAAAAGATTTTTGAAGCATAGCCTAAAAAACTCTTACCCTTATGATTGTCAACATGAATCACTTCGTTAGTCTCGTTCCAGCTTGGAAGGCCCCCATCTGAACCAGCGAGAATAGATTCCGCGTTAAACAGGAGAAAACTCAGCACGGTGCAAACTTTTATACCAACCATTCTAAAAGTGTCTCTATTTAACAAATTATTGCTTGATTTCACTGTCTTCCTTTTTTCGAAAGCTCCCCGCAGCAGATCTGACTTAAACGCTTCTGTTCTGTTTTAAATAAGATGCAGATGAGGTGAGCGGCCGCACATAAAACACATTAGTCACACCAGCAGGGGGCGGTATGAAGAGCAGAAATGAAACGGCGACACGGGGTATTTATACGGCAGTGATTGCCTCGGGTAATAGCTACGTACGGCGGAGATGGGTTGTCGCATGGAAAGGAAGTTACATCTCCAAATTATACAAAAAACAATACTTTGTCAGGAAGTCTGCGAGTAACGTTATAATTAAATATTTCAATATATTCCATGTTGCAATCTTTATGTTCTATACTTTATAATACGTATAATGTCTCCCTTATCTGTGTCACCTACCGCGAGGTGACAATTATATAGAACTTTGATAAACTTGATGACCTCCAGGCTCCTTACCATCTATTATTTTCACTTACAAAGTCAAGAATTCGTTTCCTACTTGAAAAAGGTTTGGAAAGAACAGCCACTAAGACTTTTTGCGACAAATTACAGGTACGCGGCCGTGCACGAGTGCGCACACGTTTTAAGTCTGTGTTCAATATATCCCTTCATTCTGAGTCAGGGAAACTGTATGGCAGGCTCGGAAAGTAAGATAGATGAAATTAGAAATTTTATTGTTATTGCGTAAAGTACCAATGATAGTATTATAGACAACTAAACATTCATTTCTTACATAAAAACGGTGATAAATATAGAATACGCTAGCTTAATAGAAGTTTTTAGATGATTATTTTTTTATATCTAATAACAGTTGATACACTGGTGAATCGAAATATCCCCCCCCCCCCCCGGAATTTGTACATTGAGAGCATTCTGACAAAAATGTTTTTCGACTTCCAATGCCTGACCATTGTTAAAGGTCTACCATGTATGACAAAAAGAGACCTTGGGGTGGCTATTCGGAATGTCGTCCATTCATAACTAAATGGTGGTCAACTGGTCTGTTTTCCATTAAAATGATGTAGTAGCTGCGGTTTTAATGCCCAACCCATATCTTGATTTGTAGAAAGTATATGGAAAATATCTTCTTATTGACCACGTGCTACGAAAAATACATCGGTATTTTGGGGTGTATTAAAGTGAAATCATGGTCAATAAGTTTAGTCAGTGTACAATTGCATTAGTATGCTTAGCTGTTAGCCATCGCTGGGTCGTACCTAGGGCCTCTTGTTAGTGATCCTTTGTGACTGAAGCATTAAAAAGTAAAATGACAAATCAAGGGCCACTGAAGGATGAGAGAGAGAGAGAGAGAGAGAGAGATGGTGAAGCTGTTTGGTAGACGGTAAACACGGGACCCACGTACCCTTTACCGGATCAATTACTTGTAAACAAGTGTTTTTGGGGAAGATCAAAGAAGACCGACATAAACAAGTAGTTGAGTTGTCCCTTTTCATTAATTACATTGGAGATGTATCAGCTGAGCCATGGGACGCACTCGCTCAGACTAACGTTGAGACCAACAAATCACAAGCCAACCCCCGGACTCGCCTCTACTCTCATTTGCCTAGACAGGTGACATGCACGTCTCTTTTCGTTAACAGTTTGAAGGTGCAAATGAAACGTTTACAAAGAGATGTAAAAGCACAACCCTGCCTTTGACTTCAAAGAAAGGAACGCTATCTTTTTATCTGATAATTAACAGGAAGTAACCAGGACGTATTTTCAGTCGTAACTGGTTAAAATGGAATAAAATACTTCCAACTCTGAATAACAGCTGAGATTACAAATGAACCAGGGCAACCTCCTGTCAATCTTGACTCCATAAAATGAACTTAAAGTACTGACAGGTAGGCGTTAAAGTGGAGGCCATCGCAGCATGTAGGACACTCCATAGCACCGGCTACCACATTCACCTGTGCCCTATTCACATAAATCAACGGTGATGAAGTTTTATAAATACTCTCGGGAAAATTGAAATTATAAAGATTGCTCACAATGTCACAAGTGACTTTAAACCTTGCAATGCACCTATACGGTGCGTCGTTTTTCTCGGGCAGATAAAAGACTTTTTTGTTTCACAAAAATTTTGCCATGTCTATTTTCAAAAAACGTAAAAAGTTGATAAGTGCCTGACTTAGCAAAATGGTCCGTTTTCCAAAGCTATCGCATTTTGACAATTCCTGAAATTATGTACGTTGGAAAACGCCGTGAAAAGCCGCAAATAGGACGATGCTAGTGATTATTGAATTAGCATAGCATGCAGGTATGAGAAAAAAACCACATGTAAACATAGAACGCATTAACTGTCTGATTATGTTACGTATATGTCATAGCCAAGAGGGGTCTTGTAACATCAGGAGAGAGAGAGAGAGAGAGAGAGAATGAAATAAGTAAACAATGTCATGCAGTAAAAGAGATTAGATAAGTAGACAAATAACCAGTGCAAAAACATGTATTGTATGACAGGTTCGGATTGATTTGGGGGTGGGCCGTTGGGCCTACGTTTATAGCTTTGACCAAAGGAATTCGTCTATTACATTGTCACTGCCATATATCATCCTATTTCCTTGTCATAAGGCCTGTCCTAATGTCAAAAGATGCACTGTACCTTTTCTAATTTATATAATCACTGCCCCTGTTTAAATTGTTTCAAATGTAGAAGAATGCCTGCCTAAAAACTCGGAATTCGACACACTGACGGTTGGTCAATATCGAAAACTTGTTGAGGGCTGGAAGAGAATTCGTTTTTTTTTCTTCTCTCTTTTTTTCCACGTACATGTATATCCCAACGACCAGGTACATGTACTCTCTTCCAGACTGACTGATGACGTCATTTTTGCGCAAAAATTCTCACTGGACAGAAATGAGTTTGAGAAATATCCGTGAAAATATAGCGAAAAATATCTATGTGGCCCAGGTTGAACCAGTCATGTGACGGGCAACTTGTCGTGATAAGGAGTACTATGCTACTGGGTTCTGGGTTAAACGGTTCATAAAAAGAGTAACTTATCAATGGTTTTCTAAAATGCCTAATTGCTTTTGGCATGCCACTGTGACTAAAGCAACAATTAACCGGTCAATAAATTTTATGTCTGTAAGCGTTGACAAAGTAAAGGTTGACGACCGAGGTTTACTCTGGAGGTATTGGCATTTTAAACAAATAATTGTATAAAAATTATATCAGTGCCACATAGTGTCTCGATCTTATTCTCAAGTATGGCATAAATATATGAAAGGAATAAGTAGAGTGGCGTAGCCATAATGACATCAAAATTACTCTTATTCTTAATCTCAAATGTAGTTTACTGCAGGATCTCTCCAATCCAACACGTTCAGCCTTTAGTTAAGAATGAATACGGGAAGGGAGGGGGGTGCCAGGAGGCGATTAAGATATACCAAGATGTTGCACATAAAGAAATAGCTTATTTTCAACAGCTATTCATTCACTTATCGTTATTTTATAACGCAAAGAAATATAACAATTCATAGATTTTCTCAAAGAATGATTTAGACCAGTGTCAAAACTAATTAGAACCTCCAACCCAGGCCCTATTGTATTTATTCGTTATATCTAAGCTTTGCTTGATGGAAAGTGACTGGGATTTCCTAATACCAGCTCCATAATTCAAACTATGAGTGTTTCAGTCATGGTAATGGGTATCGTTGAAGTGGTAATTCTGTAAATTTGGTAATAAACTCAAATCAAGAATTTGAGACAAATTTCTGTTTATGCCACAGGGGGCTAACGAACTGTGGTATTTAAACGCGTTCATGTGTAGTGGACTGTTAGTTTTTAGGGTATAAAGCTCAGGCTTAGAAAACCTATTTAGGGTTATATCTTCTTACATAACCATTATGAAATAAGATAATGAAATGAACAGAATAGCTGTTGAACTAAGCTTTTTATTGATATGCACTATGTCGGTATATCTTGGCCAGGTAAGAAGATAACCACGTTCCTGGCATCCCCCATATCCCCTTATATAGTCTCAAGTTCAAATGTTATATAACCTTCGGAAGTTCCTACAAGGAAACCATAGCTAAAAATGTAAAAGCATATTCTGAGTAATAAGTCTTTACACTTTTTACAAGAAGGACACAATTACATATTCTAATATAGCGTGAAGTAAAAATATCACATGTATACACTTTTTGACAGTGTGCTTGGTAAATACACGCGCATACATGTGTGTGGCACGCAGGAGCCCGCTCACCGATGCTCAGAACCCGGTTGCTAACAAGGTCCAACATTCTGCCCCTGCCTCTGTGTCAACTGATGTAGCTTGTATGGCATAGATAAATAAATTGTAACTTCCATTTCGGGTTTCTGGGTCTTTCTACGTTTACAATAACATCCGATATACAGTTACCAGTTCGGTAATGCATTACAGGCATTATTTTTATTTAAAAAAACGTCAAGTATATTCAATAGACCTTAATTGCAAGTGAGCTGAATCACCCCCAGTACACTGAACAGGATATACCTCTTTTTGTATTTTATCATAAATAGATGTATCGCACTTCTTAGTAGACGTAGGAAAGTTTTTTTTCTTTTTTGGCCTGGAATGTGACTTTTGAGACTGTCTGTCTGGAGCGCGTGGAATGAGACTGACCTTTCAAAGGGAACTTTTCAATATTGAAAAATAAAGGAAAAAACTTCTCGAAAGTTTCTGATGGAATTTCCAGTGCANGGAGGTATTGGCATTTTAAACAAATAATTGTATAAAAATTATATCAGTGCCACATAGTGTCTCGATCTTATTCTCAAGTATGGCATAAATATATGAAAGGAATAAGTAGAGTGGCGTAGCCATAATGACATCAAAATTACTCTTATTCTTAATCTCAAATGTAGTTTACTGCAGGATCTCTCCAATCCAACACGTTCAGCCTTTAGTTAAGAATGAATACGGGAAGGGAGGGGGGTGCCAGGAGGCGATTAAGATATACCAAGATGTTGCACATAAAGAAATAGCTTATTTTCAACAGCTATTCATTCACTTATCGTTATTTTATAACGCAAAGAAATATAACAATTCATAGATTTTCTCAAAGAATGATTTAGACCAGTGTCAAAACTAATTAGAACCTCCAACCCAGGCCCTATTGTATTTATTCGTTATATCTAAGCTTTGCTTGATGGAAAGTGACTGGGATTTCCTAA